AATATGTGGTAATAATAGTACAGAATATTCTGTTGACAAGAATTACTGTCAAAACAAATGTATTAAGAATTGTCACGAAATATACTATTCGTTAGAATTGGAAGACAATCAATATTCGGCACAAAATAACAGCAAAATTACAATTGAATACCAAATGAGTCCACAATTTCACTACAAATCAGACAAAAAGTATTCTTTCGTTGACTTCCTGTCAAACATCGGAGGACTCATTGGGTTGTGGTTTGGGATGTCTTTCATAGATACGAGTGCTTTCATTAGACAAATATTAAGTTATTTTAAACAACTAATAAATAACTATATTAATCATGAAGTGAAATTATTTGCTCTAAGAATCATAAGAAATTTATTAACAATTTTAAAATATAAATGGAGAAAATACATAATTTTAATAACACTACCGATCATTAGTTACCAAATCTATACATTAATCTCAAAATACTTATTATTTTCAACGCAAACCTCTATTGAAATGATTGAATACAAAGGAATTGATAACAAAATATCGTTGCAATCGATTCCTGCCATCACTTTATGCTTTGAACACACGTTNTGCAATCGATTCCTGCCATCACTTTATGTTTTGAACACACGTTTGAAGACATTTTGTTTGATCCCTATATTCGACACTATTATATGAAAAGTGTTTTTAAATCTGATTTATTAACATCAAAATTTAACTTAACCGAAAACTATAATAAAAATATTTTACTATATTATTCTACTTATAATGCTTTTAATTATAAAGTAGAATTGAATAAATTTTTAGTTTCAAAAATAAATGACAGTCAATTAGTTAAATATCATCAGCAATATTTATTTTATAACAATCAATATCTTGAATTTTTACACAAATATCTTGACGTCGATTCACACCAAGAATTTAAGCAGAATTTGCAGACAATTAATGAGAATATTCTGGAATCGACTCGAAATGAGTTAGACTTCTATTCGAGTCATATATTCTGTGATATCGACAGTCATTACAAATGTCACGAATCGAGACCTACTCTCAGATTATTGTCTCCTTTTGGCAAATGTAACACATTTTTGGCTAATTTGATGTCTAATGAATCGGAAATTAAATTTAAATACAATACTGTTTTTAATGAAATACGCGGTAAAGACAGTTTCTATAGTAAAATTAATTATTTAAGAAAAATATTTATACTTCATTCACAAAATTCTTTACCAAAAACTATGGATAAAGTGATTGAGTTTAAGGATAATATGAATAATGAAATGAAATTAATAAAAATAATGAGATATTCATTGAAACGACTGCCGAAACCATATGACACTGAATGTGAAGAATATTCTGGAAATGAAACACAATTATGAGAATATTCTGGAATCGACTCGAAATGAGTTAGACTTCTATTCGAGTCATATATCCTGTGATATCGACAGTCAATACAAATGTCACGAATCGAGACCTACTCTCAGATTATTGTCTCCTTTTGGAAAATGCAACACATTTTTGGCTAATTTGATGTCTAATGGATCGGAAATTAAATTTAAATACAATATTGTTTTTAACGAAATACGCGGTAAAGATAGTTTCTATAGTAAAATTTATTATTTAAGAAAAAAATTTATACTTCATCCACAAAATTCTTTACCAAAAACTATGGATAAAGTGATTGAGTTTAAGGATAATACGAATAATGAAATGAAATTAATAAAAATAATGAGATATTCATTGAAACGACTTCCGAAACCATATGACACTGAATGTCAAGAATATTCTGGAAAAGAAACACAATTTCATTGTCTAAACAAATGCTATGAAAAGTCATATCAGAATCACTTCCAATGTATTCCCAAATATAATAGTTTACTAACCATTCAATTATACAACAACTATATTGACCCAAATGTCACTTTTTGTCAAAATTATTACATTAATAAAGAAACAGAGTTCAACACAAAAATAAATAAATATTGTCGACATAAATGTCCTGTCTCATGTCAAGATAATTTATATTTATTTCAAGTAATTGATACATTGGCCTCAATTTCTTTTAAAATTCATAATTATTTCAAATTTGAATTAAACCAAGATTTTTACATCCAGATCAATTATTCTGCGAAATACCAATTCATAGATCTGGTGCTAAGTATAGCCAACACATTGAGTCTATGGCATGGAATCAGTTTCATTGGTTTACTCATGGATTTCATTGCATTCATTTAATAGAGGTTTGCGTTGAAAATAATAAGTATTTTGAGATTAATGTATAGATTTGGTAACTAATGATCGGTAGTGTTGTGTCTTTCAGTGCTATTCCCAAATATAATAGTTTACTAACCATTCAGTTATACAACAACTATATTGACCCAAATGTTACTTTTTGTCAAAATTATTACATTAATAATGAAACTGAATTCAACACAAAAATAATGAAATATTGTCAATATAAATGTCCTGTCTCATGTCAAGATAATTTATATTTATTTCAAGTAATTGATACATTGGCCTCAATTTATTTTAAATTTCATAATTATTTCAAATTTGAATTAAACCAAAATTTTTACATACAAATCAATTATTCTGCGAAATACCTATTCATAGATCTGGTGCTAAGTATAGCCAACACATTGAGTCTATGGCATGGAATCAGTTTCATTGGTTTACTCATGAATTTCATTGCATTCATTGAGACAAATGCTAAATATTATTGTTTGAAACATTTTATTAAACTAAAAATATACTTATTTTTCATGTCATTTAATCCAGTTATTGTATTAAAGGTTTGTGTATATAAATTTATTGTACAATCTTATAGATATCATGCAATTTATTTGTTTAATAAATTTTTTCAGCGCATATTGTGGACAATACTTACGGCAATACTTGTGCACCAATTATACGACATATCTGTGCATTACTTCCGCTTTGAATCCCATATTATAATTGACGCCAAAACCTATCAATCAGATGATAATTATCCTTATATTTCATTAGTAACTCAAGATTATTCACTGCTATCCAATATACCAGGATTAGTTTGTTTATTAAAAATACAAAAAGTGTGTTATTTTAATGCAACAAATATTGAGTTATTTATTTCAAAAACTAAATTTAATCCAAATTTGAATAATTATTATATAGTAGGCAAAAATAATACTAGATTTAAGTTTGTTAAATCATACAACAGTTATTATTTTAAGGGAAAATTATTTAGTTTAAAAACACTTCACATTAACGAATCAATTGTTGATTTTTCAAGTAAACTATTTTTAGAAATAATTCATAAATTAAATCGTTTAAGAATAGAGAATATTCTGTTTCATTCACAACTGTATCCAGATTTTAAAGGATTATACGATTCAACGCTTGCTTTCAATGCATTGAATCACACGATAATAATCAGCAAAACACTGAAAACACTGTTAACCAGACCTCACGGCAACTGTAGTTATTATGACGGCTCGAGTGGACAACCATTTGGTGCCAAATCACNACTGAAAACACTGTTAACCAGACCTCACGGCAACTGTAGTTATTATGACGGCTCGAGTGGACAACCATTTGGTGCCAAATCACACAATCATTGTATGAGACGTTGTCAAAGAAATTATTTTAAAACTATTCACAAATGTAATGCACTTTTCATTGATAATTATTGCAATGAATTGGACTTTGGGACAGAATTTAATGAAACATTTTGTTATCATAATTATTATACAAATCACCAAGTTAAAGTTATGGACAATATTACAAGAAAATGTCTGAAATATTGTCCAAAAGATTGTCTGACAGTTGAGTACAACTCGAGAGTCATATCAAGTGATTCACAAATTGGTACCGAATTCTGGTATAACTTAAGTGTGGATCAGATGTCTGTCAAGAAGTCATTGGTTTGGGACTCAACACAACCCCTGTATGTCTATCGGGAGGAACCGGTGATGTCTTTGACAGACTATATGTCATATACTGGAGGACTGTTTGGTCTATGGTTTGGCACAAATGGCAAACACTTTACCCTTTGGTTAATAGACACCATTCATGTCATAAGCATTTGGTTTTCAAACAAATATAATCAATACTTTCCTGATAATAGAGTTTATGATATCACATATTAAAAATTTGTTTTTCATAAAATAATATATTAAGTCTAGTAATGATATTTAAATTTAGATAAAACAAGTTCAGTTGTAATAATTATTTCGGAATAATTTATAGATTTAATCTTGAAACATTAAAATTAAAATCAAATTCAAAATACCGTGCCTACAGAATATTCTTGATTAGATAATTGACTACATTACTGCTCCATTTAATTGGCAGGTATATTTAATAGGCAACTGTATCATATTAAATATAATATAAACACATTATGTTATAAACGTTTGTGAAACTCGAGGATTAGGTCATCCTTTGGCTTTGCATTCATCGTTAAACTCTTGGCTATGACGGACATTATGTCCACATTCTTAGCGCTAACTCTATATCTTTGCAGAATTGATACGAAATACAGGAATACCTCCACTCGTCCTAATGTCTCCCCAACACACGAACGCTTACCTATCAATGCAAACATAGGAATACAGAATATTCTTTAATATTTTATGGCATTCTTATACAAACCTATTAGAAATGGTATGAAAGTCTCATATTTGAGTACTTTTTTGCCATCACTTGATAGGAATCGGTTGGGAATAAACTCTTTGGGGTTAACCCATACTTTGGGATCAGAGTGAAGCGCATATGTGTTGACTATAACTCTGGTGTCTTTCGGTATGAAATGACCCAAAACTGTCGTATCCTTAGTTGTGCTGTAATTTGTGATTCAAAGTATAAAATAAGTAAAAAATACATCTATTATTACCATCGCATCAAATTGAACGGCAATTTAGTTTTGTATCGAAACGACTCGTTAATGAACGCCTGAGTGAACGGCATATGAAGTCTGTCGGCATAACAGGGACTCCGATCTCTTCCGACCACAGAATCGATCTCTTCGTGAATCCTCTTCTGGTGTTCGCTGTATCTGACGGACAGTAATAACAGGAATTCAATGGACTCTTGAACAGCACTACTCCCGGCGCCGAACAGTATTCGCACCATTTCTGACAATTTTTGGACTATAAATGAGTTTTAAATTAATTTTAAATTCATTAATCAATGACAGTATGTATGGACTGACGGGTGAAGTGAGTGTTGGGATCCTTTCGTTGTCTCACTTCCATCTCCGCTAAGTATCCGTCGATATAATCGCGGAATTTGTTGTTAGGATTCATTGACTTTTTATGCGATGAAATCTCCGACCTATTCATTCAATATAAAAGTTTTTAGTATTATTTAAATGCATATTTGACTTAACAATCAAGATACTTAAGGAATCCTTCACTTAACATGTAAGCACTGCATAGAGGGAAATGTGTTTAGAAAATTCACTAAAATAAATCTGAAATTTGAATTTTCTATCATATGTATGATTAAATTAAATTCAATAACAAAACATTTTAATCAACACTTAATATGTTGCACATACTTATTGAATGAACTGCAATATCATTACCTAATAACCCCGGCCACAGTCTCGAAGACCTTCCTACTATTGATAGCACCGGTACTATACATGCGTTTTGTTAGCCATAGGGGAGCCGCTGATAAGAAGGCTGTGGTTATTATGGACTTCTGGCTAATGGTTTCCAACATCAGGTCAAAAGCCACACGTTTGGGGTCGTTGTAGTCGAACCGGTGACCAAACACCAGGTGACAGATATTGTTGGATATACTGGGCGTCAGGCATTTGTGGATATTAAAGGGCCGGCCATTAGCCTCATCGACATGTTTGATAAGAATACGGATCTCATCGGTGATCCTGTCCTCCATAGAGCCCTTTCCGAAGCCTAAGTCTCGGAGCACTTGCAATGAAAATCTGCGAGTGTCCTGCCAGTAGTGGGGACTACTTGCACTCGAGTCTATAGTAACAAGGTGAAATTTATTAGACTATCTCTCTCTCTCTCTCTCTCTCTTATTTATTTATTATACAAGTATTATACAAATATAATAGTATTTATTACTTATATATATTTATTTATTACTTGTATTTCCGACAGCAAATAACGCAGTCTTGGGTCGACCTAATAAGGCGTCGTTATGTAAGCCCTCCTTAATAGCCTCCCAGTCGTTAAGGACGACAATATTTTTGAATCCCATTTGTATACTAAATGTATTTAATATTTTATTAATTGATTTTGATTGCGCATTGTGAGATTTCATATTAAAGTATTTATTAAAACATTGATGTAATACAAAACATACGTGAAAACAGAGCCGTATTTTTCACCCAATTTTGTGACCACTTTATGTAAATCTTTGCCGAAGAATGGCTGGTATCCCACGAATGGTATGCCTAGAGGTCCGGGTGGCAGAAGTTGTCTAACTTTGTACTCATTGTATAGATATGTAATGAAAGCGACAATTAATGTGATCAACAAAATGAATACTAAATTCAGTAGTAAATTATAAATTGATAGTATATTGGAAACCATTTTATTATAGAGAAATAAACACAGAATAATCTATAAATAATAATTTTTAAAAATCTTTATAAAATAATATCCTGTTACTCAGTTATATACGGAATTTTTATGTTTGCGATCATGAATGAGACAACAAACTTTTTGTTGCAAATTAGCTTGACTTTTGTATGGCTATGTTACTATTATTATAAATATTTTGCAATTTATCATGATTGTATTTAAAAGAAGTTTGCAATTTTGTTATATTAATAATATTTACGAGTAATTAATTTTAATTTATATAAAATTATTAATAAGTTAGTTTCCTATTTGAATGAGTCATCTAATATTCAATATAAACCAAAATTTATAATAATAATCTCAAAAGTATTTTACAGTATATCAGTATTTTTTAACAAAAATCATAAATTAATTAATAAAAAATGTAAAACTATTAAATGAAACCTTTCTTAACCTTTCTGATAGACACCTGAAGTTTTATGGTTTAGGTAGTGTTTTATAGATACTGGTGCTATAGATAAATAGTATATGAATCATATTAAATATCAAAACCTTTTCACTTGAGTCTCCTTTCGGTCAAAACTCTTTCACAAACAGTCAAAACATTTTCACTCTGAGCTAAAATCCATGTTTACATATAATACTGTAATGAATTGATTAGTGTGTTATTTACTAAAATTTATTAAATTAACAATTATATACATATATTTAATATAATTATTTTAACTTAAGTACTGAAACAATTGTACCAAAAAATCCTGGATAGTTTCCCTCATAGAAATACATAGACTTCTCATTTACTGCCGATACGGCTGTATGTAACGCCTGTCCTGTGGAAAGGGATGTACTCTTTTAAATGAATAGTGAAATGCCTTCAAAGCTCTGCCGGTGCTCAAGACATCTGTGGCCATATAACCAGTGTTTTTGTACTTTTGATACATTTTTAGAGCCGTATTTGGTTGTGATTGCGAAACGAGTGAAAATGTTTTGACTTTTTGTGAAAGACTTTTGACCGAAACGACAGGTTTGTGAAAACCTTTTGACCGAAAGGAGACTCAAGTGAAAAGGTTTTGACCTAAAGTGAAAAGCATTTGAGAGGACTGTAAGTTATAATTACTTTAATATTATTGAGTTTGAATTATTTTTAAACAAAACTCATATTATCCTTAAACAGATATGTAAAATACTTTTAGCATGCTATAACTATTATACTATGAAAATATCTTAATGTCTAAAAATTATTTTATTTAAATAATAATAATCATCATATTGTTTCCTGATAAATGATATTTGTAATCATTCATAAAGTTTTCATTTTAATAAACATTAACCTGGATTAATTGAAGTTATATAAATTGTGTAGTATTTATATGTTTAAGTGCATTCAATTGAAATTTATATTAGTTAGGTTTAAATAAATATAATATAAATTAATATTTATACGCTAAATTAAGATAATATAAATAATTATCATTGGAAAACTATCAAGTTAATATAAACAATAGATTAATTATTTATTCAGTTATCAAATAAATTCAAGATGACGTCAAAATGTTTTTATGCTTATTGACTGTCAATACGATTTTCAATGTATTTATAATGACTAAAAGTAATTTTTAAAATATAATGTGAGGGAAATACCTGACATTTAATTCTACATTATAATTAACAAATACTCAAAAATAGGTTTCTTAAATACAGTACACACATAGAAAATATTTTCAATTATATAGTTATATCATATTATATCATCATGTTATATTATATTAGTCTATAAAAATTCAAATATTTTGTTATCCTGTCCTGCTGACAGAATCCTGCAGGATCCTGGTCCTGTTCTGCAAGATTTCAATCCTGTCCTGTTCTGTCCTGCCTCCCATGATCCTGCAGGATCCTGAAATCCTGAAAAATCCTGCCAAAATTTCCTTAACCCATAAGGCCGAAAAGGGCTGGAGTGGAGGGTTTTTTTCCTGTCATTTTCCCTTAACAACCTTCCTCATTTATCAAGTCTACCTAGGTAATTCATTCGTTCAACGTTTAATTGACTGTACACAAATAATGTTTAATATTTGTCCTGCAATATCCTGCACCTGTCGTGCCCTGTCCTGTCCTGTTCTGTCCTGCAGCGCCTTACAAGCAGGATCCTGCTTTATACACTAATATGAGTTACTATACCTGTACTATTTATAGCAGACAGTCTGAAAACATTATGATGTCATAAAGTTTTTATCATCAAACTAGTTTTTTGATAAGCTATAGTGTATACATTTATAATAGATGTTGAACGCAATGCACTAAAACCTGGATTGATTTTTGAATTATATAAACTGTGTAGTATTTTATGTATTACCGGTAGTATGTTTGGTGCTTTGCGTTGAAAAGTATTATTGTCATTGAAAATATAATATTATGATGTCACATAGTATTTATCAATCAGGTTTTTAGATAAACAATTGTGTGCACAGTGTATACAGTATATAAAAGCAATGATACTCTCAGTTAAGATAACTAGAAAATTCAAAAACTTTATAATTCCTTGAATAATAATATTCCTATATTTTTGTTTCCTATTCTTAACATAAAGAATATGTTTTCAATACAAGTATTTTTGAATTATTTGTTGGAAAATGTGGTATATTTTACACTATTCGCAGTGTTTGTCAGTTTAGTACGACATGTAGTAATGAGTTATGTATCAAGAATGAGGTTACCCGCCGGTCCCAGAGGTTTGCCTTTTGTGGGATACCTACCATTTCTCAGCAAAAAGCCCCACAAAGACATCGCCAAATTGAGTGACAAATACGGATCTGTATTCACGTAAGTTTATGAATAATACTCTAAATACAGTAATTAGAAAATTTTTAAAACAACTTTTATTTCTGTAATTTTAAGGATATTTAAAAATTTGACTAATGATACAAACTCTAGTACCCTATTTAATACAATAAACTCAAAATCCATTCAAGTAAATCCAGTATTTAATTCACAAAACTGTGTGTAAAACTTAAAATATGATAATAATTATTGTTTTACAAACTTAATAATGAGTTGATTTGTTCATCATGTGATTTAGTAATCAATTTATTTATTCTGATGAGTTACCATGTTTCAATATACAAATAATTTATTTTTTATTGTGTTTTACAGATTGCAATTAGGAGTGCATAATGTGGTCATACTTAACGACTGGGAATCAGTGAAGGAAGCCTTCAATAACGACGACTTTTTAGGCAAACCCACGAGTAGTGTGTTTACAGTCGGCGCCCCCACTACTAGTAATTTAATTGAAATTTATAATTATATATAAAATATAAAAATATTAACAATACTTTCATTGAATTATAATTAGGTTTTGTTGATGACAGTGGACAGGTATGGCGAGATCATCGGCGCTTTGCACTACAGGTTCTTCGAGACTTAGGTTTCGGGAAGGGGTCTATGGAGGACAGGATCACCGATGAGATCAGTTATCTCACAAAACTTATTGATGAGACAAATGGCGAGGCAATAAATATCCACAAACTCCTGACGCCCAGTATGTCCAACAATATCAGTAATTTGGTGTTTGGGCGCCGATTGGAGTTCGACGACCCCAGTCGTCAGGCTATGGACGAGATGTTGGACAAGGTTTCCAAAATGCTTAACATTATTGGTTTGCTGGGAACTACACCCGAGTGGTTGGGTAAACTTATTCTTATAGTCGGCGCTTTTGGTAACAAAAATAAGTTTGATAAAGTGATCGGAATTTTTGAGTAAGAATTTTGTTTCAATTATTTGTTTTAAAAATATTAATTCAAATCATTGTATGTATAGTAAGGAGATATCGTCGCACCAGAAGTCGTTTGATGTGAACAATAGAGTCAATGATTATATCGACGGATACTTAGCGGAGATGGAAGTGAGACAACGAAAGGATCCCAACACTCACTTCACCCGTCAGTCAAACCTCCCAAATATGATTGCTATAGAAGTTATTCATTAATAAATTTTTTTTTGTAAATTTTATGTTTAGTGGCGAAGTTAGGAGAGAATAGTCGAGCGTTTTTTGGTGCCGGAAGTGAAACTGTGAGGACTACTGCTGAATGGCTCCTATTATTGGTCGTTAAGTACAGCGAACACCAGAAGAGGATTCACGAAGAGATCGATTCTGTGGTCGGAAGAGATCGGAGTCCCTGTTATGCCGACAGACTTCATATGCCGTTCACTCAGGCGTTCATTAACGAAGTGTTTCGTTGGAAAACTATAGTTCCCGTAAATCTGATGAGAAGGTATTAATAGATCAAATTAATGATTTGAGAGAATTATCTTATTTTCTTAATATTAATAATTAACAGAGCTCTAAAGGATACGACAGTTTTGGGTCATTTCATACCTAAAGACACTACAGTTATGGCCAATATATGGGCCGTTCATTATGACCCCAAAGTATGGGATAAACCTGAACAGTTTAATCCGAATCGATTCCTCACTAGTGATGGCAAAGAATTACTTAAAACCGAGGCTTTAATACCATTTTCCTACGGTTTGTTAAGAATTTCTATTCATAAGAAAAGTAATATTTAAAGAATATTCTGTGTTTGCATTGATAGGTAAGCGTTCGTGTGTTGGCGAGACATTAGCACGAGTGGAGGTATTCTTGTATTTTGTATCACTTTTACAAAAATACACAATAAGTACAGCAAATGATGAGGCGTTGACTTTGGACGACAATTTTGGTTTAACACTACAACCCAAGGATCCAATGGTACTTAGGTTTCGGAAACGAGTCTAAAATATTGCTGATAAATATTAGGATCATATTAAGCACTTAATTCATTTGTATAAGTCAATTAATTATATTTATAATTTAGTGCAAAATATTTTGTATATAACAAAGCAATTAAATTATTATACTCTCTATTCACATACATTATTATGATAAAATGTAATTAAATTCATATCTTATTACAATATATTGCTATAATATTAATTAATGTCTAAATTCACACACAATCTATTGAAATGATTTTGTTAAACTGTATTTAATATCATGTTTAAAAATTAATAAAATTGGGGATATTCTAGAAATTTAAATTCAGGTAGTATAATGTTTATGTGTATTTATAATTTTATTTATTAATCATATATATTCTGCAAAATCTCTAAACTATCAAAATACATTCTGGTTAACTTAATAAATATTAATAAATAATCACTTTGTTTAATACTGTATTGCTTTTATAAATGATAAATATTACAAAATTATAAATTATAAAAATAATTTTAGAATTAAATTTAAACAAACATTAAAATTCTTTCTATCAAACATAGTAAAACCTATCATGTTATTAGTATGAAATTCCTATTATAGATACCGGTGCTCTACAAAAAATAATACTAATTAAAAATCAATAACTTTAGTAATACAGTAGTAATATTATGTTTAAAACAAAACTCATATTATTGTTATACAAATTTATTATAATAGTTTTAACACGTAAACAGAAAGAATCATGGTAAGAAAATCTTTTCATTTATATAAATTATTTAAAATTAAATTCAATAATATTATTGATTTTTTTATAAATAAATAATACATTTATAATAATGCATTAAATGTGTTGAACGCAATGCACTAAAACCTGGATTGATTTTTGAATTATATAAACTGTGTAGTATTTTATGTATTACCGGTAGTATGTTTGGTGCTTTGCGTTGAAAAGTATTATTGTCATTGAAAATATAATATTATGATGTCACATAGTATTTATCAATCAAGTTTTTAGATAAACAATTATGTGCCCAGTGTATAGTATACACTATATAAAAGCAATGACACTCTCAGCTATGATGTCTAGAAAATTCAAAAACTTTACAATTCTTTGGATAATAATATTCTTATAATTTTGTTGCCAATTCTTAACGAAAAGAATATGTTTTCCATGCAATTTGAATTATTGATGAATTATTTGTTTGAAAATGTGGTGTATTTGGCACTTTTTGTGGTGTGTATCGGTTTAATCAGACTAAGTCTTCATGTAGTAATGAGTTACATAACGAGACTAGGTTTACCCGCCGGTCCCCAAGGCCTGCCGTTTGTGGGTTACCTGCCATTCCTCGGCAAACAGCCTCATAAAGACATCGCCAAATTGAGTGACAAATACGGATCTGTATTCACGTAAGTCTATGAATATATCATAGTACCAGTAGTTAGTAAAAATTAATCGCTTTAAAAACACTTTTATGAAATATTTAAAGTTATTAATTTTAAATTTAATCCAAAATAAGAATTAAATTTACTAAATTATTTGCAAATAAATTGAAAACTTTGTAAATTTATTAAATGTGTAATTACAAGTTTTAATATACTCTAATTTTATTAATTATTACAGATTGCAATTAGGAGTGCATAATGTGGTCATTCTTAACGACTGGGAGGCTGTGAGGGATGCCTTTAATAACGACGACTTTTTGGGAAAACCTACGAGTAGTGTGTTTACAGTCGGCGCCCCAACTACTAGTAAATTAATTGATATTTATATGAATATATAGGAAAATTACAAATATTAACAATCCTTTTGAAATTATTGAATTATAATTAGGTTTTGTTGACGATAGTGGACAGGTATGGCGAGACCATCGGCGCTTCGCCCTACAGGTGCTCCGAGACTTAGGTTTCGGTAAAGGGTCTATGGAGGACAAGATCACCGATGAGATCAGTTATCTCACAAAACTTATTGATGAGACTAATGGCAAGCCCTTGGATATCCACAAACTCCTGACGCCCAGTATGTCCAACAATATCAGTAATTTGGTGTTTGGGCGCCGATTGGAGTTCGACGACCCCAGTCGTCAGGCTATGGACAGGCTGTTGGACGAGCTGGGTAAGATGTTCAATGTTATCGGTTTGTTGGGAACTACACCCGAGTGGTTGGGAAAACTCATTCTGTTGGGCGGCCTCTTAGGCAGCAAAAAGAAGTTTGATATCGTGTCCGGAATTTTTGAGTAAGAATTTTGTTTCAATTATTTGTTTTAAAAAAATATTAATTCAAATCATTGTATGTATAGTAAGGAGATATCGTCGCACCAGAAGTCGTTTGATGTGAACAATAGAGTCAATGATTATATCGACGGATACTTAGCGGAGATGGAAGTGAGACAACGAAAGGATCCCAACACTCACTTCACCCGTCAGTCCATACATACAGACATTGTCCAGAAGTCGTTTGATGTGAACAATAGAGTCAATGATTATATCGACGGATACTTAGCGGAGATGGAAGTGAGACAACGAAAGGATCCCAACACTCACTTCACCCGTCAGTCCATACATACAGACATTATTTGTGAAAATAATTATTAATTAATAAATTTTCGTATAATTAGTTTCAAAATTAGGAGAGAATATGAAAGCGTTTTTCGGGGCCGGAAGTGAAACGGTTAGGACTACTACGGAATGGCTGTTATTACTGTCCGTCAGATACAGCGAACACCAGAAGAGGATTCACTCAGAGATCGATTCTGTGGTCGGAAGAGATCGGAGTCCCTGTTATGCCGACAGACTTCATATGCCGTTCACTCAGGCGTTCATTAATGAAGTGTTTCGTTGGATAACTATTTTACCCTTAAATGTGATGAGAAGGTAATAGAAGTGAAATTATTATTTAAAAATTAATTCACAGTTAATTAATTATTTAACAGAACTCTAAAGGATACGACAGTTTTGGGTCATTTCATACCTAAAGACACCAGAGTTATGGCCAATATATGGGCCGTTCATAACGATCCCAAAGTATGGCATAAACCGCAAGACTTTAATCCGAATCGATTCCTCACAAGTGATGGCAAAGAATTGCTTAAAATCGAGGCTTTGATACCTTTTTCTTTCGGTTTGTTAAGAATTATTATTCATTAGAAATATAATATTTAAAGAATATTCTGTGTTTGTATTGATAGGTAAGCGTTCGTGTGTTGGGGAGACGTTAGCACGAGTGGAGGTATTCCTGTATTTCGTATCACTTCTACAGAAATACACATTAAGTGCAGCAAATGATGAGATGTTGACTCTGGATAACAATTTTGGACTAACATTACAACCCAAAGATCCATTGGTACTTAGGTTTCAGAAACGAGTCTAAAATATTGAAATATTCTAATGATTTTAAACACTTACTTGACTTTTGTATGTATCAATTATTTATACCGTATATTGTGTGCAAAATATTCTTTATATTACAATATTTGTAATAAAAAGCAATGAAATTATTTTAATCTTTGAATAATAATATGCATCTATACCTAGATTACGATTATCTTAATTTTAATTAAACATAACACATAATTAATTGTAATAATTTTATAATTAATAATTTTTAAAATAAATACAACCAATCATTTCAAAATAATTTATAATTCTTATGTAATAATTATTTGCAACTAATGCAAAAAACCCTGCTCGTATATAAATAACTTGTAATCAACTAAATATTTTACATTAAATGTGTTTTACTTGCATAATGCATATTGATAGATAAATTAAACAAATTTTTGATAACTGCAAACATTACATTGAATTTCACAATTCATTAACTATTTAATGAAATATTAAATTATATAATTTTAGAAATAAAATCTGATAAATAAATATAATAATAAAATTTTTCAAAACACACTTTTCAAACATTTATGATAGCATTAAAAATAAATAAAACAAACGGTAATAAAACGGTATTATGGGATGATTTGGCATTAACCAACCATTTGCCGGCTAATATGGTGTGTCACTCAATGATCCCATACTACTGTAACCAAAAAACATGTGTTTTTTTAAAGAAAATACTTTTTTGTTATCAATTAACCACTTAATTAGATAAACAGAGGTTTGATGTCTAGAACCATGAGTTCAATAGTTTTATAACTTATTTATATTTCATAGTAATATTAAGTTTGTGTCAATTTATTTGAACTATAACAGTGTTAGCCAAACTTTTTCTAATTGGTAGTAGGTAATTGGTAAATATATGATTGTACTTTTTTTGTGTGTATACTAGTAATAGTTTCTATTAATTGTGACTATGCTTGCCACACAAAAAAGTACAATCAGATATTTACCAATTACCAATTACTATACTAACTAGGAAAGTTTTCTAACATGAGTGTATTCAGTATATAACTTGAGATACGGGTGCTATACTACTATACCGTTTCAATAGTAATGGACTTTAGAGTTGTGGTTCGAGTTATCAATATTTGGTTTGATATCATCGCCTAAAAAGCTCTTCATTTGTATATAAAATGCAAAATTTTCCGATTTGGTTGTCAAATGGCTATCAATTTATATAACATTAATCATTAGCTGTTTGTTGTGTAGGCATTCAATATGTTATTCATTTATACGGTGTTTGACTATGTGTTTGAAAATGTGGGCTCTTTTACGCTATTCATACTGTTTGTCAGTTTAGTCCGACATGTGTTGAGTAACTTAAGGCAACGGCGGCGACTGCCACCCGGCCCGGCAGGCCTACCACTAGTCGGCTATTTGCCATCACTGGGCACTGAGCCCTACAAAGACATCGCACGGTTGAGCGCTAAATACGGCAATATTTTTACGTAAGTTTACGAAAAGTATATAAAAAACTTTTGATTACTCGTAATGTTTTACATGGAAATTATTGTACAATATTATGGGAGTTATTTAATTCAAACAAAATTTAATTATAGTAAATATAAATATATTAATTTGTTTTATGTAGTATAAAATTTTTAACTATTCAAACTAAAACTAGTTATTTACAGTACTAGTAACAGTAAACCTTTTAAAAGTTTGCAACTACTATTTATTGTGCTAATTTATTTGTTTATATTACATTAAATACTAATAAATATTTACATTGACTCCAAAAGATTGCAATTAGGAGTGCATAATGTGGTCATACTGAACGACTGGGAGGCTGTGAGGGACGCCCTCCATAAGGACGCCTTTTTAGGCCGACCCACGAACAGCCCGTTCACTGTCGTGAACGCCGACAACGCCATCAGTACTTATTAGACACTAAAAGTGATAATTAATAATTAAAAATATGAAGTCCTCAATAGGTTTGGCCGACGATAACGGCCGCCTATGGAGAGACCACCGCAGGTTCGCCTCACAGGTGCTCCGGGACTACGCCAAGGGTGGTATGGAGTGCAAGATTCAACAGGAGATCCGTTATCTCATCGCACGTATCGACGAGACCAGTGGTCGCTCACTGAATGCCGGCAAACTCCTGACGCCCAGTATGTCCAACAATATCTGTCACCTGGTGTTTGGCCACCGATACGATTATAACGACCCGAAACGCCAGGCCATGGATAAGATGCTAAACGAGGCCTGTAAGGTGTTCTCAGTGATCGGGGTACTGGCGATGGCACCGGCGTGGTTTTGTAAGCTAGTGTTCAGGGCCAGTGATTTCGGCAATAAAAGGCAGTTTGACATCGCGTTTGATATATTCGAGTATGACTTTTGAGATGTGGTTTGAATTGAGATTTTTGTGCATTAATTGTGACATTTGTTTCGCGACAGTAAAGAGATCTCTTCGCACCAGAAGTCGTTGTCTGCGAGCAATAGAGTCAACGATTATATCGACGGATACTTAGCGGAGATGGAAGTGAGACAACGAAAGGATCACATCTCTCAGTATAACTTCTCCCGTCAGTCCATTAGACTAATTATGAGATTATTTTTTTTTGTTAGTTAATTACTTTTTACAATAATTTATTGGGTTTTAGTTCGCAGACTACAAGCCAACTGTCGGGCGTTTTTCAGCGCCGGTAGTGGGAGTGTGCGGACGACCACCGAATGGCTGTTATTACTGTCCGTCAGATATAGCGAACACCAGAAGAGGATTCACGAAGAGATCGATTCTGTGGTCGGAAGAGATCGGAGTCCCTGTTATGCCGACAGACTTCATATGCCGTTCACTCAGGCGTTCATTAACGAAGTGATGAGATATA